AAAAATCAATTGGCCTCTTGAACAGTATAGCTGTCTTAGTATTACCCTGAGGGGGAAATTAGGCCACATTTACGCTACGGAGTCCTACCCTGTTGAGCACAGTGAGTCTAAAGACTACATAGCTCATGTGTTTTTCTTTTTTGGAATTTACTAAAGTTGCTGAAGTATCTTTTTAGGGCAGACTTGTAAGCAGAAATTTTGGGGCGGCCCTTGGCTGAGGTTATCAGGACTCGACCCAGCTAAATGAGGGAGCACAGGCTTCTAATTACTCTCCATTCAAACGGTCAAGCATCTCTTAGGAGAGCTGATCACTCACAGCTGGCATCTTCAGAGGACAGGAGTACCACTCTGTGCTTTGCTGCAGTTTGTTTGGGAGTTGAGTATTTATAGTGGTGGGATCAGATATTGTCCTTTTCAGGAGATGGGTGATTATGGTGATCAGTGTGTTTTTGTTGTGATAGATTATCTGTCACTGTGATTGATGGGTGTCATTAGCTGGTCTTTTGTGTGTAGTGATCACCTGTCCTTGCGGCTAGGTAGAGTTCGTTGACCTTTTGCACGCAGTATGTTTGATAGCTGGGAGCCAAGTTTTGTTGAGCTTCATACTTTCCTCTTTTTTGTTGAAACTGTGCTTGTGCTTGTGGATTTCAATGGCTTCCCTGTGCAGTCTGATGTAATGATTGCTGGTGTTGTCCAGTATTTCAATTTTTTTGTTCAGCTACTGCCGATTTTTCCGGTTGTTTTAGTCTGCAGTGTCTCTCATGTTCTTTGATTACGGTATGGATGCTTCATTTTGTGGTTCCAATATATACCTGGCCACAACGGCAAGGTATCCAGTATATTCCTGGAATGGTGAGGGGGTCCCTTCTGTCCTTTGCTGACCGTAACATTTGTTGTATTTTTGTGGTGGGCTTGAATGCTCTTTGTAGGTTGTGTTTTTTCAAAAGTTTCCCCATGCGATCCGTGACCCTTTTAATGTATGGCAGAAATACTTTATTTGTGGGTGGCTGTTTTTCTTCTTCAGTTTGGTGTTGTTTTCTTGGTTTGATGGCTCTTGTGATTTCATTTCTGGAGTAGTCATTTGTCTGTAGGTCCCAATTCAGATGATTGAGTTTGGTGCTGAGAAATTGAGCTTCATGGTTCTGATCTGCACGGTCTACAAGTGTTTATGCCTCTTTTTTGCTGTGGGTAGTGGTTGGAGTTTTTGTGTAGGTACTGGTCTGTGTGGGTGGGTTTTCTGTAGACCTTGTGTCCCAATAGGAGGTCAGTTTTGCATACGACCATGACATCTAAGAACAGGAGTTGGCCCTCTATTTCTTTTTCCATGGTGAATTGTATATTTGGGTGGATGCTGTTGAAATGGTTTAGAAATTCTTCCAATTTTTCTTCACTGTGGTTCCAAACTGTGAAGGTGTCATCCACATATCGGAACCAGACTGTGGGTGCGAAGTATGCCAAAGCCAGGGCCTGTTTTTCGAAATGCCCCATGTAGAAGTTTTCTATAACCAGGCTGAGGGGGCTCCCCATGGCCACTCCATCTGTCTGTTCATAGAATTCGTTATCCCACTGAAAATAGCCAGTTGTTAGGCAGTGTTGGAAAAGGGCCTTGATGTCTTCTGGAAAGAACTGCTGGATGAGTGTCAAAGTGTCCTTTATTGGTACCTTAGTGAACAGGGGTGTCCCTGTTCACCTGCTACCTTGACATAGTATCCCTGTTCACTAGCAGCTGCCAGATCCTACACTAAAACTTTCCCGCCCCCCAGGTGTATGCAATACTATTTGGCTTTCCTATTTGCCAGATTACACTCAAAAATAGTACCAGAGAATTTTGGGTGCTGTTAGGTTTGTGCTTCTGTTCACATTAATTTAAAGCCAAACCCCCATCCCCTCAGACCATGCGGTCAGGGAGAACAAAGGTCAACCTAGAAGAAAATACCTCACCAAATAAAATGTCCTCCCGCAAACAGCTCACCTCCTGCCTCAGCTTTCTCTTCAGGAAAAGGGCTTAGAGCTTCTGCCCACACACATTTGCCTCCTCAGACCATGTGGTCAGGGAGAAAAAAGGTCAGCCTAGAAGAAAATACCTCACCAAATAAAATGTCCTCCCAAACACAGCTCACCGTCTGCCTCAATTTCCTCTTCAGGACAAGAGTTTAGAGCTACTCCTCACACACATTTAAAGCTAAATGAGCATCAGGAACATTGGAAATACTGGATAGCAATTTGTTACTTAATTAATTGTTGGTGGTATTTTAATTGTTAGGAAAGGGAACATACCTTTTTAGATTTTCTCTCTCATGTGGCAAAATATTTGGTCTCACCTGGGATGCTCTGCACCTTGAGAGAATAAGACTATTCGTTGTTTTGCTTTCGGCTGCAAAATGTGTTTGGTCAGCCTGTCTTGAAGCCATTGCAATTCACAGGATTAAATTTTCAATTTTGTTTCCTGTTTATATAGCTCATCACACACACTCTCCTGCCTGCCATGCTTCAATGGGGCAGAATTAAGCAGGTAACATGCAGGCACATCTGAAGGATCTCTCCAGTGGATGTTTAAGAATAAGCTTACTTTTGATCATCAAACGCCTGGACATGGAAGGAAACTGACTTGAACCACATCCAGAGCAGGCATGTCCAAAGGGTGCAAGATACCACCCAGCTTTGTTCCAAACTTCATGTGGATTATAGGTGGCACTAAAGGGAAGCTGCAGGTCTCTTGCTCTCATAATGGACCATGGCCATCCCTCCCCATTACTCCTCTTAGGGTTTCTCCAGATGGGAAAGGGTATTGCAACAAATGAAGACATGTAGGTATGGGTGCTCTCAATGTGAGCTGGGATTTACTGTCATTGGGATCTACCTGCACTGCAAAAGCCAAGTCCTTAAAAAATCACTTTGCTTGGCTTCTAGGGAAAGGTACCCGTATGAAAAAACTGGAAAAGTCTAGAGTTGGAACCTCTTCAGTGTAAGTTAACTCATCACAGGAAGTGCTCCAATGGCTAAGCTTCACCTCTGCAACATAACTGCAACCTAACATCACAATAACACAAGCTTCCCAGAGAGCTCAGAAAAGTGTGCAAGGCAGGGAAAGGGCATTTGATTGAATTCATCGTTGTGCCAGCTGCTCAGTGAGAAAAAATAACTTAAAGGAACAGCACTGAACCAGTTATCTTTTTGCCGCTGTGCAAACAAATCTCTTACTTGGCTGTTGCAAATATCACAGACTGCTCTGAAAAGTAGTGAGCATCCCCACCCATCACTCTAAAAGGCTGATTGGCCAATCACAATCAGCTGACACTTTGCAAGTTCCTCCCCCCTCTTAATGCATATGTAACTCACCACCATGCATTTACTTACAGGGTGGGAGCAGGGAAGGGTAATACTGTTGTTACTACATGACAACTTCTTATTTCTGGTTGTGTGACTAGAGTGTCTTTCTGGATGAAATGACAGCCCCAAATAGAAATAAGAAAACATTTTGCACCTGTCTGTGCCTTTCTCGACGTGATGGTAGTCTCCTTTGCTGACAAGCAGTCACTTGTTACAAATACTTATCTCTGGCCCGCTATTTATTTAGCAACATCTCTATATCCTGCTCTTTATCTGAGAAACAAACATTTACAACCATTTGTTTATTTTATACAGAACATCCAAGGAGGATTTACTCCATGCCCTTCAAACAGCTGCAGGGCAAGCACACCGCCCGCATAGGCAGGATCACCACCCAACAAGGGGGAAATAATTGCAGCAGTGAAGCAACACCATTGCCTGCAAGGAAGCTTTGAAGACTCAATTCCCTAGAAGAACAAATGGCATCCCGTTGTCATGGATGGAGTCCTCTCCCATGTCTTTAACATAATCACTAAGGCAGGAATGGGGACACACGTGTGGATCCCCAGGTGTTGCTGGATTGTGCCTCCCCATCATCACTAGCCAATGGGTAAGGATAATGAGAGCTAAGTTCAACAGCATCTGGTGGAGCACAAATGTTGCATCCCTGTTTTTTAGGGTCGTTTTAACGGGCAAACCAGTTAAATACTGTATATCTAGCTGATTTCAATGCAGCACAGTGTTTCATTTCCTCAAAAACAGATGCAAATGCAACCATTCCTCTCCTAACCCACCTTGGTTCCCCAGGGCTATAGGCAGAATGAGACAACTGGTGCTTAGCCCTGAGAGTGCAGGCATGGCCACTTCACCTAAGCTCATCATTCTTAAAGGCCCTCCTTGTGCTTCTGAGGCTTCCTCTTCCCACCTCCCCCATGGCCATGCCACATTAAGCCATTTCTTTTTAGACGCTCTCCTTTACTGCCTCTCCTCTACTGCCATGTGCTCCTCTAAGTCCTTGGTGCAAAGATTTTTAAAAGGGATTTTTGGCATGTGCAACAGTAGAAACACGAAATGCTGTCTCAAGCTCTCTGGTACCCCAGGGAGAGCACACACACAAACCAGCAGCTTTGCTGGCTTGCTGGTCAGCATCCAAACTCTCCCCAGGGATTAAGCTTGGAGCAATCTTCTGCTGTTTAGTCATAGTAACACTGGAAGTAGAGGCAGTCTGGACCTTCTTGAAGATAAATCTCTTCCTGGTGCAGCTGCTCTGAGTAACATGTAATGGAAAGAACATGGGATGACCAAGAACCTCTTCCCCAAAATATGCCTAATAGGTGCACAGAGTTCCCAGACGCAAGGCGGTTGATAATGGAATAACTGGAAGCAAATAAAATGATGGTGAGGTGAAGAGTTCTGTCTTGCAGAGACGGCCATTTACTGTAGATGATGCTGATTTGGCCCTGGTTACCCTATTTGAATTACTCCAGTGTTAAATGTTTTCTGATTTTGTGTGTGTGCATGCGTACATGCATGTGTGCGCACCTGCCTTTCCCTTAGTAGGTGTCAGCTCTCAAAAGTAGTTCCTCCAGCTTCAACAATGTTTTTAGCTGCTGCTGTTTGTTACTCCGCACAGTACACTAGCAAGGGGAAAACATACGTCTGTTTTTTTCTCTCTACCGTGGCACCTTCCAAATAAATGTTTAAGACTGAAAGAAAGATTACTGTGCATTTGTAAAAGCGAGTTAAATATGTAACTGATAAGGTTCTTGTTGTTTTTAGCTGCTGCTGTTTGTTACTCCGCACAGTACACTAGCAAGGGGAAAACATACGTCTGTTTTTTTTTCTCTACCGTGGCACCTTCCAAATAAATATCTAAGACTGAAAGATTACTGTGCATTTGTAAAAGCAAGTTAAATATGTAACTGATAAGGTTCTTGTTGTTGTTGTTGTGTGCCTTCAGGTTACCTCCAACTTATGGCAACCGTATGAGCGATCCCCAAAATGTCTTGTCCCAAGATTCTGCTTTGTCCTAATTACTTCCTGTAGTATTTTCATATCATGAATTAACAGTTAAGTCGGAGGCACATGCTGTGACACTTGGCCCAACTGCAAAAATGGCTAGTTACAGCTCGTCCAGTCTCAAAAGGAAAAAATAAAATAAAATAAAATTACCCCCACCCCACACTGATTAATGCAATCTCTGTTAGCTTTTGGATTTGTACTGAGAGCCAAGAATTATCTTCCAGGGAGAATGGAAGCCAATGGTTATTTTCAGCCATTATAGAGCTTTCATGTCTGAACGGTCTACAGTGGACCCTCGACTTACAGACGGCTCAACTTACAGACTTTTCGAGTTACAGACTTCTCTGGCTGCAAAATTTAGATTCGACTTGCAGCCGGAGAATCGACCTACAGACCGAAAAAAAACCTAAAATGGAACAAATATAGAATAAAAACTGCCAGTTATGGGATTAATCTGTTTTCAATGCATTGTAGGTCAATGGAGATTCGACCTACAGACTTTTCAACTTGCAGCCACAGTTTTAATACGGATTAATTCCGTAAGTAGAGGGTCCACTGTATATTCTGCCCCTGAGGCAAGAGAATATCCAAAGGCAATGTTGCAATGATGTTTTTGACTTCCAATGCCCTGAAACTCCAGCTGGTGTAAAATGAACTATACTCTGAAACATTGGGAGGGGGGGAAGTAAGTAAGGCAGAGCTAACCTTATACTTATTATAACCTTATACTTATTAGTTATAGCTAATTTTTATTTAATGGATTTGATTTTGGTTTTGTAAACTGCTTGTTTTCCTTCTCTCCTTCTCCTTTTGCAAAAGAAGTGCAAAATATCTCTTTTAAGTCCAGTTAAATCCTTGCATTATTTCATACACACAGTCTTTGTAAACTCATCATACATGGGATAATAATGCGTAGAGATAATTCTCAAATTCATTATGTGCGAAGGGGGTCTGTCAGTGCTATCTTGACCTCATATTACAGATTTTTAGTTAGGGAAATCATGATGTAGTAACAGAAGTTTAATCAATAATGTTAGTCTAGTAAAAAAAAAAAACCTGCTACATTCACACAAACACTCCAGTTTGTGAAACCCAGGAAGGAGCATTGAATTACATCTAGTTAAGTAAGGTCCCTTACCTTTTTGAGCCCAGAGCTTCAGATGTTATTTTTTAAAAGTAGCTTTTTAATTGTATTAATTCTTCGTATTTCACTCTCAGAGTATCAGCAGTTGAGGATAGTGAAAATAACAGTGAAATCTCAAGACTTTCTACTCAAGAGGTATACAACTGAACATGAACTCTTCACAGCTATGCGTGCATTTTGCTAAAGGTAATAGTATTTCTTCATTGCTTTCCCCGTAATGATTTGTAATTCATCCTCCCCCTCAACTGCACCTACATCTGTTACCTTACCTGTTAAGTTCTGAATTTTTCTCACAATCTGCTGTTTCTTGCTTTCTAATGGAACTTGACCCAAATTAATACATTTAATCTAACATGTAGGTTAATATTTACCTCTATAAAGTCAAACTATGCAAAGCAAGTTTCCTGTGACTTGTTGCTTCCAATTTTTCTCTTTCACTGAAATGTTCTTTATCAGTCGCACCAAGCAAAGTTTATTAGCAAAAAGGCAGAAAAATCTTACATCTTCCTCTATGTTATTGCCTGGAAACAAGTGAAGCAAGCCATTTCATACTTGGGACTCTTTACCTCTGCATGTTTGAAACTGGTTCCCAGAAAACACCTGTGTACTGCTACCTCTTTTTCCTTCCTTTATCTCTTTCCTTAAAACCCATTTTATCTAAGCAATCATATACAGCTGAAACAATGACATGTTCTTTTCCTTTCTATGGTCAAAACTACACTCCCCATGAAAACTTGATCAAATCCACAGTGACTCCTGTCATAGCACGATGCCAGATTGTACAATTCAAAATGGCACCCAGTTTGATTCCTTTCTGCTCCGGATTATTTAATTTTTTTTATGGATACACTGCAGCTTTTTGGGTGGTACAGGATTGCCCCCTTTCCCCTGCCAGCTGTCTGCCTGCCCCTCCTCCACTCCCTTGCTCCTCCCTTGACTGCCTTATATGCCTGTCCCTGCTTTCTCCTTTGTCCCTCTGTTCATACCTGTGGAGGACCAATTCAGTTTTTCAACTCGCATTTAAAATCATACACCTGAAGATTTGTGACCCTGGAGGGACAGCAGGAGTGGGGCACAACATTCCCATCACGTGATGCACCGAGCCCTGATGTGTCCATGATGACACTGGGCACAACTATCCACAGCATAGCATCTTCCACCATGTGTCTCAATATGCCAGATTAAAACAGAAAAATGTTCTATGACTTGGGTGTGTGTTATAACTGGAATCACACCTGCTTGTAGGCTAACTTGCAGCAACTACACTTTCCCAGTTTATTGCAATAGTGTGGTTTTGACCAATGTCTATTTTGCCTCTCCTCCCTGTTTCTCAAGTTCGGTTCTAGACGGTAATCTTCTACAGCCAGAGTTTTGTCTTCCACAACACTACAAGTTCATGCACACAAAAAGCACTATATAAATCAATCATAAAAGTATGCAAGGGCCAAGAGCTTGAATACCCCCAGTGGGATGTCTGGCTTTCCCACGCCACTCTGAACAGCACAGCCTGACGTTATACCACACAATGCTCTTGACAGTCTCCTCTGTTTCAAACACAGTTTGCCATGTGGCATGGGCAAAGGATCCACTCTGAGAAATACAAACTCTTCCCCCCACCACCCGCAAGCTACATATGCAACTCTAATAATTCTTACACCTTTTATCTTAAAATGTCTTTCTGGTATCTGTAAAGAGCACTGGGCAAAACAACAATATTAGGGATGTGGGGATCTCTGTAGCGTTCCTAGAGTTTTAAAGTCTGTAACAGTTGAGTTTGGTGATGAGGGTTTTTTTTAGTAATTATTTTCTGCTGTTCTTGAATTAGTTTTCACATTTTGTGATATTATTTGAACTTATTGGTTTTCATTCTAAAAGAACAAAAACAACTTCAAGTTGGTTAAAACTGCAACGTATAACAAATAATGTCATCTCTGAAAGTCTCCGTATCTCTCATTTTTGTTTTTAAAAAAGTCATCTCAACATTCTTGTCAGTTATTTATTTATTTACTTTTAGATTCCTAAAGACTAGCACATTTACAGCATACATGGATTGATGAATTAAGACAATAAAAAACAGTAACCATATGTTGCGGATGGCACATTAATACTGCCCCAAACAAATAAATAATAAAATTGCAATGCACAAAGCTTGGCAAATACAACTGTGTCGGGACAAAACTGTGCTCCGTTTTACAATATCGCTACATGTATACATGAAACCCAAGTGTGTGTGTGTGTGTGTTGTGGTTGCTTTCACAGAACATACTTCGCAGCAATCTTTCATACCCTTTCATGGGTTTCATTTCATAAATGCATTTTAAAAGAACATCAGCTGGAGCGTCTCGTAACAGGAATCCTTATGATTTTTCTGTGCAAAACAGAACAAAACAAAATGTAATACAAAATCTTTACCCCACACAACATTTCCAATATGGATGTCTGGTTTCACAATTCCCTGTTTCTGATCAAGTCCCATTAAGTCAGTCCTTTGTGAAGGTGCATGTCTTTTTTTGCCTGTCACATTGTCTGTATAAAAGATTTGCTGGATGAGGTCAGCCTACGCCATTGCCAGGTAGCCAAAAAGGAGATCAGCAGAGGACGCACCTACTCTGTCTGCCCACGCACGATGGTAGTTTGGTCACTTGCCACTCTGACAATGAGGGGAGGAAAGCAGAAAACACACACACACCCCGCATACATGAAGAATTTGGGAACCAGTCAGAGAAGTACCACAATGCTAGATGTACCCTTCTGTTACCAGAGCCTCACCAAAGTGAATACAACTCTATAAAAATAAGACCATTTTTAGTAGGTAATTGGAGTAGGAATGTAAAATAAATGCTTACTGTGATTTAGAGAAGATATAACTACAAAAACCTGATCCTCATTTTTATTAGCCATTAGTTGCATTTATACCCTGTTTTTCCTCCCATTGACTCCAATGGACTGCACTGTCTCTCTTTACCTTCACCTCACTCTGTGAAGTAGGACAGTCTGAGAAACTATGACTATCCTATGGTTACTCGGTGGGAACAAGAATGTGACTTGTCCATGTCTCTGTTCAGCTTTTAACGACAACTTCACATTGGTAAATCTAACCAAAGTCTTGGCCAGC